GGGGGGGGGGGGGGGGGGGGAGAAATGTCCACATTCTTGTTATTGTTTAGTATCAGATAAAAAGGAATGTACTGAATAGTAAATATTAACCCAACTTTTTGAAATTTTCAGTGCCTACTGGCCTGGTTGTGATCGGTCATGCCAACAACATGCTGGCCGTGTCGTGTTCCGTTTTGTCTCGCCTGCGGATAACTCAAAGAGTTGTAAATAGATGTATAGTGGTATGTTACTGAGAGTTCTGTGGATGGAGCAATATTTTGAAAGTTATTAGTACAGAAGCGGTTGTGTTTACAGGAACAGATTTGCGATTTTCTCTCTATGGAGTGGACAAAGCGTGAACGGTCGCGCCTTGTTCCACTGCCGTTAAACGATACTTTCAAGATTGACTTGATGCAGCTCAAACTGGAGTAAGTTCTTCGGAGATAAATACCATGAATTTGTCTCTCATGTAGTCGTGTCTATTTTTTTAGTGAAAAGGCTGCACAGGCGAATCGAAAACCGAGGGTCGAAGAAAGCTCAGTCGATAGTCGTGGCCGCAAAAAGAAATTGTGGGTGTTCTCTTTTTCGTTTGATTCAAAATTTTATGGTTTCTGTGGGGGAAGGGCATGTTCCAGATCTGGTACTCCACTGCCATCTCCTATCCCTCGGGATGCTTCACCTTCACCACTTCCTCTCTCGCAGCTAGACAGTGTGCGGTCCAATTTCCAAAACCTCTTAAAGAAGTACGTCGTATTGTTTAGGTGTGGGGGCCTCTTTTGAAGAACTTTTTTTTNTTTTTTTTCAGAGCCGGTACTGAAAAGCCTCCAAAGTGGCCTGAAGATCGGTCACTGATTTCCAGCACATTTAAGGAACCTCGCCTTCCAGCAAAACCTGGTTTGTCAATTTTTCATGTTTTTTGTTGTTTGAATAACCTAAGGGTAGCAATCTGAAGTTTATTGTTCAGGATCTGCTATGGCATCGCCAGTACCTGCTCGCACCGAGTCTCCGAACTTAGTGGACCCTGCTTCAATTTCGTTGACTTAAGGATGAATACTTGTGTTGCTATGATTTTTTCTGCTACAGTTAATTATGGATACCGTTTGTATTAATATCGATCATCTGCGGGAAAAAAGAGTTTGTTGGAAAATGTTTAAGCGCTCGTCAGGTTATAAAAATGTTTTGAATTTTTGGCGAGTGTCATTGGTAATCCGGTCTTACTATTTTTTTACAAATTGTTTTTTGTTACTTTAATAAACTACGGAAGATGTGACTAGTTAGGTTTGCTTGTGGTGTAGTTTTACAACGGATATGTATTATAAAATAACCACTAGTTTTTCTGAGCAGTTTTAGCAGTATTTTTCACATTTTACGTAGGATACGGATATACGGTAGTTAGCGTTTCATGTTCTTCTCTGCCATGTGAAAATCATTCTATTATTTCCATGTTTTTATCAGATATGGTATGAGCGGAATTGTTTTGTTTGTCGTTAGACTATACATATAAAACCGTGTGTTTTTATTTTTTT